ATAGAAAGTTGTTGGGAATGGAGCATCTTATGCTAAGCAAACAATCATGGGAAAAGCGTCAGATCCTCCCAATCAATTCAAGAAAGGTGGGGTAATCAGACATATGGATCTTCCACTAGTGTTATCAGTAAACAGTGGTGTAATTCATGTTTTTGGTGAGGCTAAACCACCTTTTACTGGTTTTTGCCACTGTGGAAAGCAGCAGTGCTGACCTGCTTCTGTTCCTTTGACATCCTTGTAGTATATACAGATAAATAGCTCATATAGAATTAAAACCTGTCAGTTAGCTTGTAAATGTTAAATATGTTCAGGAGATGGCTTTTCCTTTTCCTCAAATAGTCTGGTTTCATGAAAGGCAGTATCCGACATTCAACATGGCTGCAAGTATGCTTTATTACAAGCTTGTGCACTTGTATCCCCACTCCTAAATAGGCTTGGTTTGTTTATGGCCAGTCGTAGAAGAGAAGTTGAGTCACAACTAAACGGTGCAAGTGGTGTAACTGAGACTGCCTCGATTATACTCTGTTGTGGATGCGGACAGCTGGAGACCCGATGGCTAAATAGTCGTTCCTGTCATACTCCTTTGAAGACCGCCACCTGAGGTGCATGTGCAGTTGATACATTGTAATGTAAATTCTCTGTGGACAAGTCAACAAAAACAAAACAGGCCGGCTGGCCATCCGAATGGGTCTTCACATTCACTGTCTGTGAAGACTTGTGGACATGGAAAGTCCACTAGTCCCCCCCCCCAAAAAAAAAACAAGCAAAACATATTTCATTCTGTTGCAAAGTGTGCTACTATATCTGTTACATACCAGCACCCTGCATCCCTGTGCTGAGTCACCTCTTGTAATGCTGTTTTGCTTTTGTACTTTGATGTCTCCAGTGCCCTTAAAGACAGCCGCTTCCCCCCTATGACAAGGGATGAGCTGCCTCGCCTCTTCTGCTCAGTGTCTCTTCTCACCAACTTTGAAGACGTCGGTGATTACCTTGACTGGGAGGTAAGAGATGTTATTTGCTTGAACATGGCTGAGCACAGGCTTTTGCCCCCGCACTTTTGTGGTGCTTTGCAGCTTTGATGCAGACTCACGTGCATCTCATTCTTCAAGCTATTATTGTACACGAATGTGTCCACACATTATTTCTGGGTTTGTCACTTGAAGGCATACCCAGCATTCTTGAAGTGGCAGCATAGTTCTAAAGCATTGTATTTATAAAAGAGAAAAAAGTCTGCTTTAAATTAAAGTTTTCTGGCTTTCAAAATTGGATTAGTTTGATTGGGTGCTGTATGCTTTTCCAAAACATCAGTAGATGTCTTTACCAGCTGTTATCTGTGAAAATAAATATGATTTGGAGCTACAGTTTAATCAATAGTACCATTTTTTAATTGTAGTTTTAATTTCCAGCAGAAGACTGAAAATTAAGAATAATATGTGAACAGAAATGAGAATATCGTGTAATAAACTGGAGCTTCAACCATGCAGTACATTGCATTTAGATGAAAAATGTAAAACAGATTCCATCATTAACTTGGAAGTGCATTTTGAATGGAATAACCTGTTTCTCCACAGCTCTGTCTTCATTGGATGAAGAGATTTATAGGGATTTATTTTTGTGCCTGTCTTGAATTCTAGGTGGGTGTTCACGGTATTAGGATAGAATTTTTCAATGAAAAAGGATCAAAACGCACCGCCACCTACCTACCAGAGGTTGCAAAGGAGCAAGGTAAGATCTTCTTGTGCCTCTAACAATCTAGCTTCCTCTGCTTTTAATAAAGACTGAGTTGTATTGAACCGAGTAGGGAATATGTGGAATTGCTTTTCACTCCTTTTACTTTAACTAGGTTGGGACCACATTCAAACCATAGATTCCTTACTACGAAAGGGAGGTTACAAAGCTCCCATCACAAATGACTTCAGGAAGACCATTAAGTTAACCAGGTAAGATTACATTTAATTGATTGAATTATCTAATGCTGAAACATTAATGCGTCACTGCTGTACTCTGTTCTTGCAGCACACTTTCATTTAGATCCTTTTACCTGACGTGTACAAGGCTTAACAGAACCAGCACAAATAGTTGTATACGTCAGTGTGTCTGGATGTACCTATGTGCATATGTGAAAAGGCATATGTTGAGTCTGTTGATTAAACCTTTTGTGGCTCTTGAGGAAACTATGTGCAAATGTTCCAGGAACTGCCATGCCACTTTTGTTGAGGCTGAAGTGAGACAGTGGCAGGCAAAAGAAGAAAACCCAGGATGTAAGAGATGGGTGTAACCACAGTGACATCACCCTTTTGTTATGTGAAGTAATGGTTTAAAACCTTAGCTCAAGGGGCTTTGTCCAAGGGTTTTTTGTTTTTTGGACAGTTTCAGCTAACACTATCAAGCTGCATCCAGTTACTGTGGCTAGCTGCTATTTACTCTTCAGTAATATAAAAATCAGGATCATAACTTCACCAGTCATGCATTCTGCCTTGCACTAGGCTATAAAATATTTAGATGTAAATATAAAATATTAAATATATTCTGGAATAAAACTATCAGTTTGCGGTGACTCATTTGCTTTTAGAGCTCCCATTAACCTCCTAAAACCCGAACTCTTTCATGACATGCATTTTGAATTTTTCTTTGCTATTTGGATTGATTGGGACCTGATGAATGTAAAAACAAAGAATTAGCAGATTTATTTATTTTTTAACCAAAATTTTGTATTTTCTTGTAGAGAAAAATGTAGTATTTTTGGTCTAGACATCCCAAAATGTGATGTCCACATATGCGGACACCAGGTCCTAGGAGGTTAAGTGAAATAGAAATTTCTGGCTGCAGTTTTCGTTGCTACTTCATGGACACTAAAAAAAAAAGACTCTCCTCTGCTTGAATATCCCTTCTTGAGGCCACATTAGCCCTCATTAGCATAACACAGCTAAAGTCCATATTGTAGACTGTATTAACAGAAGTGCTAGAAATCTGTAATCTTTTAATGGCCAGCAAGGGTTGACCCCTGGTGGCAAACAAGACCAGTTGTACTGAAATATATGGAAAGATGTCCCTGACTTTCCTCAATCTATATCCTCAGTAAATATCTTCCTGTTTGGTCTCAGTTACTAGTTAAAAGCCTTGCTGAATATAACAGGATGTTCATTTAGTAACTTATGGTCCCCTTTAGTAAAAAAAAGAAAGTTAATGTATGGTTTACTGCAGTGTGTGCACTGTCTGTCTCTTTGAGTGATACTGATGTTTGGTTTCAAAAAGCTAAGATGGCAACAGTGGAAATGCTGAGCTTGAAGTTTAGAAAATGTTCACTTCGCTAGCCAACGTGTGATGCACGTTGCCTACATCCATCTTTTATGTAAATTTTGTTTTAAACGTAATTCTTTCCAGGAAGTTGCATCATGGTTATTGTATGAGTCAGGTTTAGTAAAAGAAATCACGCATACAAGTAAAGTATAATCTGTGGGCCTGCTGCTTTAGTTTTGATAGCTACTGAACATGCAGCCTATTTTAGCACTGACACTGGACTGTATATGAAGAGCAAAGTGAGAGTGATCATGACTCTCCTAACACTGGATTAGAGCAGTTAGCCATCACAACACATCTCTTTTTGTCCCCAGGTACCGTAGCGAGAAGATGACGATGGGCTATGCAGAGTACATCGCCCACCGCCAGCACCATCACTACCAGAATGGCATTGGGCACCCTCTACCACCCTACAACCATTATTCCTGACAGCGAGCCGCATGACCAATCATTGGACCTCTCCGCGGACCTTTTCCCAGGAGAGCCCGCCCCCTCCTGGTCTAGCTATTTCTACTACTGTACCATTTTATGATGATAGTTTCCGTTGCCATGCTGGCCGTCTCCCAGACGTTGACATGGCAACGGGTGGCAACGAAGCGTTATTTGATTCTGACAAGAAATCCACACGTTTCCTTTTCTTTGCCTGTGGTTACGTTTTTGCAGCATATGTATTCCTATATCTGAAACCCCCCGTTCATTCATATTTTTGGAAATTTAATCAAACGTTAGATTTTATTAATCTTTTCAGCGAACCTAATCAGGTGTTTAAGTCTGTGGATGGAAGGAAGTCTCTTCGAGTGGATTAGTCTCGCGCTTCTGTTGTTTAAGCTTTGCTACAATTTTTACATTTACTAAGAATTTTCTTTTTTTCTTAATCTTTACGTTAACCTACTCTTAAACATGTAACACCATGTAGCAAGGCAACTGCAGTTTTCAAAGGCTGTCGTCTCTTCTTGATTCCTCTCAAAAAAACAAAACAAAAAAAAAAGACTGAGGTTTGTTTTAGCTTGTAAACTCTTGTAGTGTTGTAGTTGGAACTATGTATTGGAATATGTATACTCCAAAGTATAGATGGTAGGATTGTGGTGCCTCTTGACCAGCTTTTGCTGGCAATATTTATTGATTGAGCTCACAATCGTGTGTGTGATTTCTGTGTGTGGATATAGACATTGGTCTGCCACAAGACAAAAAACTAGTAGAAATTGGATGATACTTAAAGATTCCCCTACAAAAGAGTTTGGAAACCTCCCCCTCTGAGTATTTGTAGTGTTTTGGTGTGGAAGCTCTAAACCATGAACAGCTGTGTCCCTTATCGGTTTTTGTTTTAATCTTTTTTTTTTTTTTAACTTCTTTCAAATTTAAAGTAACTGCTGGAGGAAGCCATTTTGTCCAGGGATAATTGTGTCACAGTGATTTATTAATAAACAGTGTAAAATTCTCTGCATTGGAGAGGGGGAGCGGGCACAGCTACAGGTCCCTACAGAGGGGAGGAAAAACACCCCAAAAAAGCATGGCTGAGTAATACTTAGATTTAAGTTGAACGTATGTGTTTGTTTCTGAGTTTACTGGCAGGGAGTCACTTGACAGGGACATGCTATAACTACTCAAAGCCATAATGTCTTCTCTCTATTCCACACTTTGTAGTCCGTTGTTTGGTTTTGCATTCTTTAACCTCTGGTAGATGTATCAAGTCTCCAGCTTCTGAATGCAAAACCAGTTTCGAGACAGACCGCATCACTTGGTATACTTGTCAAACCAGGTGGGTTTAGTCATTTGCTGAATGTGCTGCATGTTGCCCACGCTAATGGGGAAAGATTGTCTCGTCTCTTTACATTATAGCTAACAATGGTCACTCGTCCACAAAGTATTATGTATCAAAGCTGTCATTTTGATCCATTGAAGACGCACAAAGGAAGTGATCTCATTACCATGTTTGTGTCATGTAGACGTTCATGTCATTGTGCTGTTTAGAAGTGCAGCCAGTCAACGTAGTTGTTGAAACTGCACTACTGCCATTCTGCTCCGGTACTTTAGTGAGATCCCATTGATCCTGTTTGTGTGTCCACGGCGCTAGTAACGTTTTTGTCAGCTTGTATGGGCAGTCAGGTTGAAGCAAACACAGTTGAATTAGTTGGAACAGATTCTCTGCACGGGGCTCAGTGGCTTGCAGTCGAGGTCTACGTATATATGAAAAAGCCTACACATAAAGACTCAACAAGCCATCTCCCATCCAGATATTTACTTGCTGTGAGTCTCATCCGCACACACACCTGGATAGTTGGCTTTACTTGTCAGAACGTTTGAGCCTTGGAGGATCGCCGTACGGGTCGCTTGTTTCGGGTTTTAGTTCGCTAACTGGAATTTTTGAGAGGTTCTTGTTACTTGACCAACATCTTTCTTTGTAACAGCCTTTACTAACTGACAGGTATTTTTTTCTTTATGCAAAAATGTCAAGGGCTTTTGGCACTCCATCCACAGTAACCCGAAATGACCCAGATTTCAGTTGTGTTGCCTTAAATGAATGATTTAAAGAAAGGAAAAAAAACAATGGACCAGTAGATGAAGCCCTGAGTGTCCCTCTGTCGCTCTTCTCTTTTCCATCATCACACCACAGCGTAGGAAAGAGCCACATGACGTTTTCCTGCTTTAGAATGCCAGTGCTCTCTCTAAGAGGGCAGCTGGATGCCCGCAGCCTTCAGTTTTTTCACCCAGCTGGCGAAAAAAAACAAAAAAAAAACAACCCCTGCTCTTAAAGGTGACGTCAGCCGCTGTGGTGTTCAAACTGCGTCTCCTTGTACACTACATGACGAGGAGGAACAGCCAGGTGGTCATTTCCTGGTCCATTTAAACACAGCACAACCTGAATTTTTCTGCTGCAAAACCAAATTGACCATGCTCTTTTACATATGTCTTTGTATACACATGCAATGTATTTTGTTGCATGTATGTATGAGTATGAGACCTATGGTTTTATCCATGATATGCTTGATCTATGGCTTACACACTCTTATTAACCATTAAGAGATTTAAGACAAATATGGTGCTATCTGACCTCATATTGGGGTGGTCACAGCTCGTGACTGGTCATGCGGACTCATTGATCATATCATACTTAAAGATGATACATGTAAGATTTTCTCTTTAGTACATTCCTGTGAAATGAGTCATGACGGCACATTTTAATACCGAAGTATGATAGTCACCAATTCATACAGTAGCCCCCAGCAACCTCTGCTTTCACGAAGCTCACTGTGGGTTATTTTGGGATCAATTCCCTATGGGAAATACGGAATATAGTGAAGAAGGAAAAGTCCCAGAAGCAACATGTTACAGGGGCTATGGAATGTACTGTCTGCGGTCGTCATTACAATTTACCAGTGATATATTAAGAGAAAATCTTACATGTTTTACCTTTACTATCCTTGATATATGCAGATCTGTTCAACAGGTGTTTTTATTTTGTTTGTATTTTGTTTGTTTTTGTTTAGTTTTTTTCCTACCAGTGCAAGTCAACACCCCTTGCAGGTTTGAAAGGACAAGAAGTCACAAGTTAACCTCATTCCCCTTGATCGCTCCCTACACTGTGGCCCAGCCTCATGGCCTAGTTTGTCAAGGTGTGTGATGTATGTCGTTCGGTAGATGGTGACAGTAGTCGTGGTCGTCTTTAGCCTCCTCCTGCAAAATTTGATGCTGTGTTTTTTTGTTTTTTTGTTTTTTTTTTTCTTCTTCTCCCTTTTCTTTTTTTTTTTTTAAAAGAAAACAACAAATCCTTAGTTTTTCTTCTAGCTGCTGAATCGTTTGACCTCCTCAAAGAGTTTGAGTTGTTGACTAGTGAACGATCCTGTTTTTTTTTGTTTGTTTTGTTTTGTTTTTTTTTGTTTGTTTTTTTTTGTTGTTGTTTTTTAGCCACGTTGAAGGAAAGCATCTCCTAAAATGGGACGGAGAGTTAATATTTTACGTAAGGACACAGAAAACAGTCCTGCTTCTGTACTGGTTTAACTGTTTAAAGCATTAATACCTCATGGGATCTTATGGAACGACATTTGTAGTTTGTCTGTAGCAGATTGTGTTTTGGTTCCATACCAGGGTTAGAGTTCAGCCTCAGCATTCCTTGCGTGGTCATTCTCATATTTCGTGGAATGCTCAAGCTCGTGTTACCTTCGTATGTTTGACTGAACCAAAGATGCCAGCGGCCATGCCCAAATGCTGCTCTTCAGGCCTGGCTTCCTGTCCTTCCAAAAAAAACAAAAAAAAAACTAAAAACCCTGCAATTGACAAAATATTTTGTCTTTTTTTTTTTCTTTTCTTTTCGTTTGTTTTAAATGTGCGATTTTTCTCAACTGTCTTGACTTAATAAGCAACTCAATTTTTCAATGATTTTTTTTCATTGACTCTATCTCTGAAGCCGTAATTGGCCTCAAGGATGGTTAAAAATGGTTGCAAGTTGTTGTTACTTGTTTTGTTTTATTAATATTATTATTATTATTATTATTATTATTATTGCTATAATTTTCAAAAATGAAAATCCCATGGTGTGCCTCCTAGCTTTATGGGTTTATAAATGTTTTTTTTTCCCTAAAGACCAGCAGTTATACTTTGTATGAACTATGGATTTATTCCTTATTTTTTATGCCATTAAAGATGAAAAAGCCTGTTTTCTTTACTCTGGACCCAGTAGCTGCACTGGTATACAATCGCACTGATAGATGAATTTAGAAAAAAAGAAGAAATGAATCAATAATAATAATAATAATAATAATGATAATAATAATGACAAAAGAAAAAAGAACTACAATAAACTTGTGTTTGAGAGTTTTATTATAAAAAAAAAAACCTAAGAAAAAGAAAAAAAAAGGAAAATGACTGTTTTTGTACATCAAAATAAATTCTTTTCAAAGGAATATTTTGGATCTAGTTTCAAAATTATTTTAGTGGTTTTCTATGTTCTGAATTTTTGAGACACTGACTTCTTAAGACGTGTCACTGTACAAAATGACTTTTTTCTGTTGCAGTGGCCTGATGGGCTGGGAGGGTTACCTGGTGTAACTCCTCATACCAACTTTTATTTCATTTCTTTAAAAAAAAAAAACAAAAAAACATTTTGGATCCTTGTTCTTTTCCTTCTGCTTTAGTAACTTGACAAATTGTTGATGGAATAATATGAACTGGGAACTTCAAATCCAACCCCTGTAGAGCTAGACCCTTCCTTTTTTCCTATTGAATTGCTGTTAGTGTGACAAGACTTGAAATGGGCATTTATTATGATAGTATGACTCAATAAAAAAAAACAAAAAAAAAAACATAAAAAAAGAAATTAGCAAAAAATTGCAAAAGACAAGTGTGGGGAGGGTTGAAAGAATATATATAGATGGGTTATCTGAGTATGTAAGCAATGGCTGTGAAGATCATGTAGTTTTAAACATTGTTACCTTTTAAAATCATTTATTCAATAAAAAAAATTACAAAATCAACTTGAAAGAGAACGTGTCATTCTACTTTCTTGCAGCATGTACACTAAATTAGCTAAACTAACCTCCAGTATCTTCAGCTGACTGATGGTGGTCTAAACTTTATATTACACCTATGCATTATGCTGTTTGGACAGTTACAGTTTGTCCTGCTTTAATTACGTGTTGAACTAATGTATGCCTAAACATTTATTTTTCAGGGAACATGGTCCAGTTCAAAGGCAGCATGGGCAAGAGTCCGGTTAACTTGTATGGTCTTCAGTAATGGAGCAGGATAATATTTGGTGTAATTGGCAGGACAATGTGATCCCCCGTGAGTGTTCTGGCATCTTATTTTCTTTTTAAACACCAAATTTGCCCTCAGCAATTCTCATTGTTTTGCATTGTACATGGAGGTTTCCCCTAATGAAAACTGTGAATGGTGTGTTTACTAAGAGCACATTATGTTTCCTTTACCCTTGCTGTGATGGGGTGGAGGGCAATTTCCAGGCAAATCCTCAAAAAACAAAATCCATGAGATTCACCACAGTGCTGGAAACATTGCTCTGAGATTTTGGTCCATGTTGACACAGTTGTTGTACACACATGATACAAATCTACTAATGCTGCGGATCCCAATGCTGCTCTAGTGCAGGGGTGGGCAATCTCAGTCCACGAGGGCCGGTGTCCCTGCAGGTTTTAGATCTCACCTTGGGTCAACACACCTGAATCACATGATTAGTTCGTTACCAGGCCTCTGGAGAACTTCAGGACATGTTGAGGAGCTAATTTAGCAATTTAAATCAGCTGTGATGGATCAAGGACACATCTAAAACCTGCATGACACCGACTCTTGAGGCCGAGTTACCCCATTAAGCCATGACTAATAGCCTGAACCCTTGATATAAGACATGATGGATTCATGCTTTCACTGTTAACACCAAATTATTACCCTACCATCTGAATGTCGCAGAAGAAATCACGACTCACCTGAGTAGGCAATGTTTTTGCATTCTTCTGTTGTCTGCACCTGTGAGATCTGTAGCTTCTGCTGTTGCTAGCTGACAGAGGAGTAGTGGCTCATCTGCTTCAAGGTTTGAGAGGCTGTGTGTTGATTCTCCTCTGACCTCTGGCAACAACAAGGACATTTTTAACCCAGAGAACTTCTGCTCACTCTTTCAGGCCATTCTCTGTAAACCCTAGAGATTGTTATGTGGGAAAGTCCCAGCTAGATCAGCAATTTCTGAAATACTCTTAACTTGCCAGTCTGGTACCATAAGCCATGTTCAATGCCACTTAAATCACCTTTCTTCATTCTAAAGCTCAGTTTGAACTTTGGCAGGTTCTCTGGTCCATGTCTACCTGCCTGTATGATTGGCTGTTAAGATTTTGTCGTTAACAACCAGATGACAATGTATACCTAATAAATTGGCTGTAAGCGTATGTGAATTGGCCCTTTAAATTTTGATCACATTTCAATCCCCCTGTAGCCTCATGTTAGTATGCAGTGTTCTATCAGTGCTTTTCTATAATTATTCAAAATGACTTCAGGCAACACATACTTTTATGATGTTTGGATTAGCAATGGAGCATGCTGGGTACATGCTGAGACAATGGGCTAAATGAAGATGTGATATTTCTGGCTCCAATAATTTAACGCAAAACTGGGCCATATTTGCATTTTGCAACCACTAGGCATCGTGAAATGATCCAAAGCTCAAATTATCAACACAATCATAACTGCTTTTTTAAAACTTCAGTATTTCCCTGAAGTCCTGCTGTGTTGTACCAGGGTGTAAAGTTCCATCTTTGCTAGGAAAATGTATGCCAGATCACACTTTAAAACCCAAGAACAATGTGGTAATCATAAAATCAGAGCCAATCATGAGGCAGATAGATTACATCAGAACGCCACTTCAGGTTTCACTCCCACCTGGCAAAAACAAAACTTTGGGGCTGCAGTAGGCATAGTCTCACTATAACTGGCCAGTTGAAGGCAGGAAAAGTGTAGTCTGGTCTCATAAATCTCTATTTTCAATTCAGTTCAACTCAGTCGTATTTATATAGCACCAAATTAAAACATCAGTCACCTCAAGATATATTACAAAAAAAGAGAAAACCTCAGCAATAAACCCCGTATGAGTGAACACTTGACAACAGCGGGAAGGAAAAGCTCCCCTTAACAGGAAGAAACCTGTGGCAGAGTCAGGCTCAGGGAGGGGGAAGCTATCTGTGGTGAGGTGAGGAAGACAGGACAATAGACACACTGTAGAAGAGCCATAGAGTAAAAACAACTAATGATTAAATGCAGTGCAAACTTTTTCAAAAGCCTAATTTTAAAAGCAGATAATTACTGTTGAAGCATCAAGATTTAGCTTCAACAGTGCAAATTCATTGACTGTGCCTTGTGCTAACAGTGTAGGCAGGTTATGGTGAAATGGTGCAGGGTTTTCCTGGCAGACTCTGGCCCCTCAATACCAATCAATCGTGGTTTGAACGTTATTACAGTCCACACATGCTGAATTACTACTCTGTAAGCTTTTATCTTTTAATGAATACCTAAAGCAGGGGTGTCAAACTCAAATACACAGTGGGCCAAAATTCAAAACTGGAACAAAGT